GAAATCGTCAAACGGTCAAAACAATTGGGTTCGGTGTGGTGTACTCGCACGATATATCTTTATCACCGGAGAAAACCGAGTACTTCATAGAACTGAGAGAAGGAGGAGGCAGTCCTGAAAATCCAAGCGAGCATTAGCACGACGGAGTCGCATGTATTTGAGTTGCCGGAGTTGCTCTTTTCGCAAACCTGTTGGCGACTTTCGGGGGCTCATTGAACAAAAGGCAGTGAAGAAATAATAAAGAAAGGACGCCCCACACATCTGAAAGCTATTCATCATGATCCCTCCCCAAAATCAGTGGGACAAAGAAGGGGGCCCGGTTGCTCCGACGGATACCGACGGAACGGCGGATATTCTGTAGGCCTGTCACAGATTCTCCTCGGGCCCCCGCGAGCAGACATGTACAAATTACTCAAAAAAGGTAGTTAAGTTAAGTTACTGAGTATCGACGCCAAAAGTAGTTGAAGTAGAGTAGAAATTACGCATTTGTAATAGTAATTGAGTAAACTACTAACTACTCTAAAAAAGTAGCGAATTACTTCGAAGTTACTTTCGAAGTTACTTTTTATGTTTTTGTGGCAGCAAAATGAACAGAAGTTTTGATCAGTGAAAAACCCTGCGAGCCGGAAATAAATGCCGTCATTTTATGACTTCCAAAATAGTTTATTCGCTCGCCGAAGCAATTGTCTTTCAAAGTTGTTATCGGAGAGTTTTCCTCTTTTCCTTCTAATGACGTCCTCAGTCAAGCTAAAAAGACGTTCCACCGTGGCGCTGGATGCAAAGACAGCGTTCAATTTCAGAAGCAGGCTGTGCAGGGTCGGGTAAGCGAGTGTCGGCATCTTTGGTGTCCATGACGAAACATGTGAGGCTTGCCTCGGCTAGAGGTTCTTTTTATAACAAACTCTCCTTTTTTTTTTTCTTTTTTTCTTCGGAAAGTTGCGATTGTTATGACTGGCCCCTCTTTATTCTCACGACGCTCGGAGATTTCGCCGAGCGAGTGCACCTGACCGTCAAGGGATCAAGTCTCGCGCCACGACGATGAGATCATCCGGACGACTGCGCGCCTAGTTGCAATGTTATAGCTACGCCACCTAAAAAAAAATGTTTTTTGCCGTTGACGTTGGGTCCAACAAAAGGATCTCCCAAAGGTGACTCGAAATCCTCGCCGGCGACTACGGTATCCTGACGCGCCTGACAAGTAAAACGTTTTCAACAAAGAGGAGGTCTCCCTGGCGTGGAAGGTCGGAAGGACACGAAGGATTACGTGAACAAGCATCGGCGCTCGTATACAGTTGCAGCTGGAAGCGGGAACGTGCTCCCATGAACGGATTGTCCGTGTCTGCGTTTATGCGCGGGGGAGTCCGGCTTTGCAAGAAAGTATGCGCTGACGACGAGACGACCATGAGAACAGGCGCCCAGCTTCGAGGTCATCCCAGTGGCGCCTACCGTGGAACCTACCACTTGAGTCAGAACTCACTAAAGGCGCACCA